CCCTGCTTCCCACCCGGCTGAAGCCAGCCCCCTCCCTGGCCGTGGCCGCCTCTTTCCCCTCCCCTCCTGGGGTCCCCCTGCCCCAGGCAGCGCCAACCCCACCCTGTCCGTCCCTGCAGAGACCCAGGACCAGCTGGGCCACATCAGGCAGGAGATCAGCAACTTGCCCGAGCGCTTCCCGGTGGAGGGCTGGGAGGGCAGCAGCGTGGCCTTTCTGAACACCACCACCTCCACGCTGGAGGAATACAGAGAGCCGGTGACCGCCTTTGAGAGGCTCAGGTAGGTGAGGAGCTGCTGCCCCCTGGCACCCGCTCTGCCCCGCGAGGGCCAGTCGTGCATCCTGAGCTCCCTCGTCCCGAGGGGCTCAGGGTGGTCAGAGCAGAGACCATCTTCCCGGGGGCTGGGGGCTCGGTCTCTGTCCCTACAGCCCTGCAGCAGTGGGATGGCCGTGCCGGGGCTGTGCCTCGCGGCTGTCCCCTGCCCACTATCTGCCAGGGAGTCCCTTGGTCGGTGCTAGTGCGACGCTGGGGTGTTTTTCCTCCCTGCAAAGCCCGCTAGTGAGATGCTGGGCCCAGGTGTGGGTGGCAGGTCCTGCCATCTAACCCGTGCCCCTCCTCTCATCCCAGGTGGAGCCTGTGTGTCCTCCTGTGCTGCATGGTGCTGCTGGTGGTTGTCTGCAACGTGTTTGGGCTGGTGCTGGGGCCCCTGGGCCTCGAGGCAGCCGCGCTGCCCACGGAGCGGAGCTGACTCTCCAACGCCGGCGGGGACTTCTTCATGGCGTGAGGAGCCGGGGCGCGCCTCCTTCCCCGATGCTGGGGGTGCACGTGGGAGCCGTGGGGAGGGGGTGCAGGGGCAGGGCTGTCCTGGGGCTGCTCAAGCTCTGAAATGATCAAATTACTGTGGCTTAACAACCTTCCACATGGCAGTTTTGCTATGCAGGTGGTAAACATGAGGGTAAAACATGGTGCTAGTGAAAGACACGCAAGTGGAGCCCTTTACACCTGCTGGCAGAGGCTGGCGGTGTGCGCGTGGCTACTGCGGCTCTGCTGGTGGGTGCTCACTTGCAAAGCTCCAGGAAGCCACTGTGGCAGCTGAGCCCCAGGCACAGCCTGGCTGGTCTCCGGGGCCGAAGGCAGAGCAGAGATGTGCTTGTGTGAATGGTGGTGTCACAGCACGGGGGGTGACCTGGGCTGGGTGGGGGCTAGGAGTGTGCTCTCCGTGTCTATCTCACCATAGGCATATGGGGCTGCACCTGGAGGTAGTACCGATGCTCGGGCGCGGAGCTGTGGGCACTGATGGTGTCTCTGTCCCATCAGAGGGGTCGGCTTCAGCTTTCTCTTCTCCTGGCTGCTGATGCTGGTGGTGCTGGTCCCCTTTGTGCTGGGAGGGAACATCTACATGCTCTTCTGCCAGTCCCTGCACGACCAGCAGCTCTTTGAGGTGAGATGATCACCCCTGCCTGGAGCAACGGGCACCTTGGTTGAGGGCTACCAGCAGAGATGAGGCCATGATGGCCACTTTGGGACACCTTCTCCAGCTGTTCTGCCCTGCCGCATATGGATGGAGGTGCTCACGTTGGGCAGGGCACCAAGTCTAGCTTCTCTCTGCCTTCTCTCGCTCTCAGCTCCTGGATACCCCCGGCCTGATCCCTGGCTTCAACTTGTCCCAGGTGCTGGGCGAAGGCAGCACAGTGAACATCTCAGAGCTGTACAGGTGGGTCCCGGCCCTGGGTGTCTCATCTTTGGGAAGCAATTCAGCTGCTCAGGGCTATGAGATGCTTGCCAGGATGGGGGGAGCTCATGCTGCCTGCCCTGGCTGCGGGAAGTCCCTGGGCGCAGGGCAGGAGTGAGGTGCGATGTGCCCATGCGCGTGCAGATGTGCTCCCAGGAAGGGGAGCACACCAGGGGGGTCGGCACTCGCTGGCCCATTTTCAGCCTAGTGCCCCCTTCCTGCAGGCAGTGCCAGGACAACACTGCCCTGTGGCAAACGCTGCACCTCGACCAGAGGATCTCCCTGGACGAGCTCCTGAACATCAGCCAGGTGGGCGCAGGGGGAGGCAGCCGTGCTGGGTCCAGCGCAGCAAAGGGCCAGCGGCAGGGCAGGGGGAGACAGCCGGCCTGGGGATGCCGGGCTGCCCCGAGGGGTCAGCGTGGGGCTGGCACCGGGGGCTGTGCCACGGCCCTCCTCACGGCTCCCCTTGCCCCGCCAGTACACGGCAGAGATCTCTGCAGCCTTCGAGAAGGTGAACATCACCCTGAGCCCCATCTCCCTGCTCAACAGCACCCAGAAGGACGTGATGCCGGAGGCCAGTCGCACAGCGGGGCGCTGCCACGGGGAGCGACGCTGGGCAGCCCCTTTTTGGGATGAGGGGGTCCTTGGGATCCACTGCCCCCTCCCTTTGGCTGCTGGGGAAGCCTCGCACTTTTCAGGGTGAGCGGCCACTTCCTCCTGCCCCCAGGAGCTCCTGGCTCTTCTCCGCCCCACAGGGATGGAGTACTTGTGGGTAAAGCCCCTCTCCTTGCCCTGTCCCCCAGGCTCATGGCTTTGGCTCTGCCTTTTCCAGCTGGATCAGAGCGTGACCCACGGAAGCCTCCAGGACCTGGCCGCGGAGCTGGAGCTGCTGGCAAAGGAAGCGGTGAGAGATCTGGGCCCCCCCAGGCCCACAGCCACCCTGTCCCCAAAGCTGCTGCTGCAGAGGCCTTGCCCATCTCCTCCGCAGACCTCGCGGCACAGGAGGCCATTCTCCCTGTCCAGAGCAGGCGGGTGCCCGCTGTGGGGGTCCTGCCCCCCACAACCAGCACCCGTTCCCCAGGTCCCCCTCCCTGAGCCCCACGGCAGTGGGTGCTGCCCTGGAGACCCCTGTGGCAGGGGCGCCACGTGGGCACTGCTGAGTGCATCTCCCCCAGGGCACAGGTGCAAAACGGGACCTGGAGGATGAAGCGAGAGAGCTGAGGGAGCTGGACAAGGAGATGAACGCGAGCTTGTCCAGGCTGCTGGTGAGCGACGCTGGCACCGGGCTGGGGAAGGGCCTGGGGCGCTGGCCCAGGGCTCCTGCAGAGCCCAG